ATGGGAATCTCAAAAATGCCACAAAATAATGCATAGCTGATCCGGAGAAATAATGATCTGATTTCTTCTTCTTTGCACCAATTTACTCAGGTTTTGCTCCTTCTCCTTATTATTGCTTTGCCAGCTCTAAAAAGTTTTCCTTTTTCTTCAATTTTTTGTCTCCTCGTTGCGCTCGATTTATCTTCTTGGTGCTATGAGATCCCACTTTTTTGTATTTTGGGGGTTCGTTTTTTAATTCATTGTTTATTGTTAAGGAAACTGGCATTTAAATTATTTTTTCCCTGGATTTGAATTAGTATTGTTGTCACGATTGTCGAACTGGGGTTACTTGATTCATAAAGTTTTGATTCTTATTCGTGGATTAAGCAAGAAATGGTGGAAATATTATAAAGTTTTGATTTTTGTGCGTTTCTGTTTTCATTTTCCACAACCCCCACCCTAACGAGCAGGGGCAAAGATTGGAGAAAAAATTAGGTTTAATTCTTTATTAAAGACATTGAGATAATCTTTTTAAATTAAGCATATAGGTTAAACCACTTTGTAAGATCTGCTAGCTGAAGATGTAGTATATGTAGCTAAAAAGGGGATTTTTTTTTTATTCTTTTGCATTTTTCTTATAAAGCTTGCGCGCCACTTTGACTATTCTACTGGTTATCTGCTACCCTAAGCAATACACGTACGAGTAACTGTGTGCACTGCTTAGCTTTGAACTCTGGTCCCTAAAGTTTTCACCCACTTCATTGACCACTAGGGGTGTGATATTCTTTTGCATAATTATTACCTCGAGATAGATAAGGGAAGGATAGCCTAGTTGTTAGGATTATGGTAAGGGTCCGAGTACCAAGGGAGCAAAACGGGAAAGGATTACTTTTAGGTTCTGGGTAGGGGGTTTAGGGAACGAGGTTTATCATATTCAAAAGTATTTAGTTGAAGGTTTTATACAGCAACTCCACTGCGTTGTTTTTCTAAATCTTTTGCCACGTTATTGAAGGAAAGACTTTGTTGATGTGATCAAGAGAAATGTCCTTCAAGAGCATTGTCCGTGAGCTGCGCGAGATGAAAGATGGGATAGGGAATATATCGAGGAGGGGAGTGGAAGGAAGGCACTGGCGCAACAGAACCCGGTCGCATATAGCGCCAGACGTGGCCCCTTTTGATCAAATTGAACAAGGGCAATGGGCAAATTTACCACCAGAGCTACTTCTGGATATTATCCGCAGGGTTGAAGAGAGCGAGGCAACTTGGCCTGCTCGAACTGTGGTTGTCTTTTGTGCATCTGTTTGCAAGTCATGGAGAGAAGTTACAAAAGAGATTGTCAGGACTCCTGAGGAATGTGGTAAAATTACCTTTCCCATTTCGCTGAAGCAGGTAATTTATTCTTACTCTGTTCAATTAGCATCTTGTTCCTATTGCCAATGTCAAATAAAGTTAAGAAAGTATCTCTTTCGTTTCTGTTTTTGCTTTGAACCAGCCTGGTCCCCGTGACTCCCCAATCCATTGCTTTATCAAAAGGGACAGAGATAACTCAGTTTATCGCCTCTACTTTGGCTTGACTCCATGTAAGTCGTACGCCTGTTCTTCTTTTCCTTTTGACACTGCATAGTGAAATTGATATCCTCTTCCATGATTGTGTCCCTTGTTGCCAGCTTGAAGATATAAATTGTATATTTGATCGATAAATCGATTTTCATCTTGTAAACCTCCAAAATGCTAGTTTGATGAATTACTTACACCTAGGTTGCTGGGTCCTTTGTGACACTGGTCTATAATTTTTCGTTGGAAAATATTTGTACAAGTTACACATCTGAAATTTACTTCATGACAGCTGAGGATGAGGGTGATAAGCTATTGCTGGCTGCCAGAAGGATCAGGAGGGCAACAAGCACAGATTTTGTAATTTCATTAGTTGCAGATGATTTTTCTCGAGCGAGCAATACGTACCTTGGGAAACTGAGGCAAGTTCTATCAAACTCCTAAGTGTCTTCTCATCGCTTGTTCCTAACCACCTCTCCAAAGTACTTGTCGAAGTTCTTGGCCTTTCATTTTGTTAATAATAGTGTCGAAAACAATTTGAGCAGGTCTAACTTTCTTGGGACCAAGTTCACCATATATGATAGCAAACCCCCAGCTGATGCATCTATTCAAGAACATTGTCGACATGGTCGGAGATTCCGTGCAAAGCAGGTATCTCCAACAGTACCTGCTTGCAACTACAGTATCGCCACCATCTCCTATGAACTCAATGTTCTCCGTACAAGAGGACCTAGGAGAATGCATTGCGCTATGCATTCTATTCCTTTCTCTTCTATCCAAGAAGGAGGCACTGCTCCAACACCAACATCATTTCCACAGCCTTTTGGTGAGAAGTCATCTCCTCCATCAGTTTCGGATGCAAAAGAGCTAGCTAAAGATGTCAGCTCAGCTGGTATTTCATGTTCAACTGCGTCATTGCCTCTCCGAGAGTCACTTGTGCTAAAAAACAAGGCCCCTAGATGGCATGAACAATTGCAGTGCTGGTGCCTAAATTTTAAAGGTCGTGTTACAGTGGCTTCTGTAAAAAACTTCCAGCTAGTGGCATCAGTAGATCCTTCTCACAATGTACCTGCTGAGGAACAAGAAAAAGTAATTTTACAGTTTGGAAAAATCGGAAAAGATATATTCTCCATGGATTACCGCTACCCACTTTCTGCCTTTCAAGCCTTTGCAATCTGCTTGAGCAGCTTCGACACAAAACCAGCGTGTGAATGATTTCATGCAGATTGTATGCGGCAATCGTTGTTCTTCTGTTGCTTCATAATGTTATGAATTGATGTTCTCTATTTATGGCCTTATTTATGAATTAGGATTTTTGTAGTGGAATATGCAGCTTTTCTAGCCTTACTACATAATTATGGAACATCAAGCAAGGGCTAAAATTAGCCAAAGAAATGGGATATAAGAATTATAAGCGGTAACTGGTTGTTTATTACTGAAGATTGCAAATTCTTGCTTGAAGCCAACAAGGCAAATATTGTACACATTTGGAGAAAGGCAAACAAATGTGCATACTTTCTGACAAGCAAATGTCACAGACATGACAAAGATCTGCTAGTCTGGGAAGGGGCGATCAATGATACGGAGTTTTTGCTCTTGTCAGATTTAAACAATGTAGCTTATGAGAGATTTTAGTATTTCTGTTAGTATTTTGTAATGTACCAAGAAAATATGCAGCTTCTCTAACAGTAGTTGTTTAGATAGAAGCACTTGTTCTGTAAGTTCCTGTGTTAATATGTGTTTACAAAGTGTATTCATCATGTTAGGTTTTCCACTTAAATGTTGAGTAAACAGCATCTGCAGTTATCATGACTCATATAATACCTTCTGAACTTTGTCATCCACTTTATAAGTCATAACTAATTTCCTCTCCACTTAAGATTTGTTTCATGTGATTCTTGAACTGCTTGTTCTTTCTATGTTCTAAGTATTAAGAGTCAGTATGTTGAGATGAGATTGCTAGTTCCTGCATCCTATTGTGTCAGCTGGATGCCCTGGATTCTGGGTGACGATAAATTGAATGACAATTAATTATTAACCCATGTGTACAGTGGCGGAGCTAGATTTTCATTAAGGGGATCAAAATATAAAGAAATAAACTCATCAAGAAGTCAAGAGGTGTCATTATATAATATATATATATATATATATATATATATATATATATATATATATATATATATATATATATATATATATATTTTCTTAAAAATTATCGAGCTAAACAGTGTAGTTTTCCGACGACACCCCTTAGGTGCATGTGTATTGTTCACTATGCACGGATTGAATTACTTGCTAGAAGAGTATATTGTGTTGAGTTTAATTTCTATTCACCGAGTGTGTAAAAAAGTATTTATACAATCTGGTCTTGTAATTACTATAATAAACAGTAATTTGTGATCTGGTAAATAATAATTAACTTGTTCTTATAGGATAAACTATGCGGACAATGTGAACATTTTTTTATATTGTTGCTATAATGAGTTAAAATCCTATCTAGTTTACCACTAGGTTGTGCTAGGGAAGTGATGTTAACTATGCGTTTATGGCCGAATGTCTAAATAGTTCATATATTCCATTACTAGGCTCTCCTAGTTGCATTGCTAACTATGCCGAGTGTCTGAATAGTTAATATTCGATTCTCTTATTCTCTAAGGTCATCAGTCGTAAGCCTACTAATATGATTTTGTTAATTATCAGGATGAATTTAACTTCTATACATTGATAATATTTTAGTCAATCAAAAAATATTCACAGTTAATTCTTCACAAAAATAAAATTTGTATTCTTGAAAATACGATATTACCTATTACAACAAGTAAAGATGATCCGTGTGAAAAAGATTACACCGTGATCGACAATAGCATGCTTTTTAATTCTAGGAGGATCTTTCTTTTAGTCCTTTTATTTCAATGTTGATCCAATGAAGTTCAACTAAAAATATTTGACCTTCAACCAATCGAAATATGCAATTTCGGTTCCTTTACCGACATACTTATACAAATATAATAAATCTTCCGACTATTAGAATATGGTTCACTATATGTTGTAGTAAATTTGTACTTCTACTTCAGATTTTGAGGGGAACAATTTTAAATAATTGTAGCGATTAAAAGGGGCTAGAAGCGTATAATTCTCTTGGTAAAATTACTAGGGAGCATAATTTGTACAGATTACCATGGTCATCTCGAGCTATATAATTACATAACCAACATCATCCTACGATTTTATAAATATGGCTTTGGAATTTATAACAGCTTATATTAGTTTTAAATTTTAATTTCACAAAAAAGCCTATAATCAATGAGTTCCAACAGCTACGTTGCAACATCATTCTTCAACTTTTATGAAGAGCACCTGATACTAGTTATAACTAGAAATCATCTGAATACACCAGATTATGGATCTCCATATTTGTTCTGTTTTCTCATTCAGCAGACTACAATGAAGAGTCAGGAAAGGTACAATCAAGAAAAAAACAAGTTGAAAAGTTAGCCAATATGCTTTGGAACAAAAATGTACGGAAGAGGGCAAGCGAATCCATGATCATCCTCTTCCAGGTATAGAAGAATTGGGAAAAACACAATAACTACAAGACCCTACGTACTTATAGTCATTCGTCACAGGGTCTATAATGAAGCAATATATTCTTGTAAATTTGTAAATGGAATTTTCTAGAAAAATACAAACCAAGTATAGACATCCTATGGACCTACAACTTATCAATATCATACCCTGGTTTATGAGGTTCTACCACTGCAGGCCCAGTTGTCATTCTCCCATTACTCAAAGTCGTCCAAGGGACAGGATCCCAGGTTTGGTAATGTGGGATTTGGTCTGTTTCAAAAGAAAAAGGATTCTTTTGTACGCCCAGTTTGCTACTTGATATCAATATATATGGTTGGCATCTTGCCTCTTGACGTAGTCCCTTGAGCTTCATCTCACAGTAGAATAAGTAATAAACTCTGTAGAAGTAAACTGAAATGGCTGAAGAGGAATAGGGTTCCTGCAGAAGACATGATATCATATTCTCTCCGCAATTACTGGAGTGTTTTGCATTAAGAACAGAGGGAGAAAAACAAAGGATAATTACGCACGGTCTTGGCCCGTAGACTTTAATTTGGCGGATATGAGTGTCCCTTCCATTAAGATGATTTGAGAGCACACCTATTTGCAGCATGAAAGTGTTGACAAAGGTTTCACTGTCACATAAATTAGGATATGGTTCGTCAATGAGCTTTATGCTGAAAAACATAACATCATAGGACAAAGAAATTATTTTAATGTCGATGGCTATCCTACAATTTTGAGGCTAAATACATGAGTAAATTGAGACATTCTGCTTCTTTTGTGTGGGAGCTCTTAACAATTTAAACCTGAGATGCACAGAAAAAAGTATGCCAGGAAATTGCAGTGACACAAACAGACATGCTCCTCCTTTCCCTCTCTAGAATTGCACGATAACTTCGTTGGCTTGTATCTTTCAATCAAAGAAATGGGTCAGAAACTCATCGACACTTAAGAGAATAGAAACACAGGGGCTCGAGGCACGAGGATGGTGTTCAACACTTGCAGAACATATTTCCACAAGGCAGTAGAAGGTCATCTCAAAAACAAAGGGAGAGTATGCTAAAAGTCATTTTGACAATTTGCATTAGAAGTTGTCCCCTGCCTGTGCAGAACAGACACCCCAGATCCTTAGAAGAAGAAAAAAGAAGAGCAAATAATATATTTCGTCTCTCGTGTAAAAATAATTAAATCTTTTATCTTTTCTTGTTGGGACTAGATCAACTAAACACTTTCATATAAGTGTTATTAGATTAGACTTTCATGTTGTTTCAGAAATCAAAATTATCTTCCATCGTCAGTTCTGCTCATATTTAGCCACTTATATTGAAGAAATAAACTTTTTGAGAAGATGTTAAAGAAAGAAACATAAACATTCATATCTAGTTATGCTCGTAATTTAATCCTCATCTATATTTTGTGATTTTAACCATCAGAAACCATATACTAGTTTATTAAACAATGGCTTATGATTAACCATTAATGAAATGGTACTTTGCATCCATGTTTAAAAAGAAAAAGATACATAAGTTGGTAGAGAAATGAGAGACGAGTCTTGCTCATTTATTATGTATTTATTTAATCCTTTTACGTTATTAAACTAATAGCTTGTCTTTATTTATGTCCATCTGATTATCTGATGCTTCAAGAATGAATCTAATGATTGGATTACCTCACAGTGGTTGTATAAATACAAATAAGGGGCTAAACACAGGCAGATTAGGTATTTTATATTTCCGAAAAAGGACTGAACTATGCTTAGAATTAGAGCCACCGAAAAACATGCAGCTTAATCAGCAAAAGAAACAGCAAAGAAAAGAAATACAAAAAAATTGCCAAAAACATGAAGCCAACACTTCATTTGCTTACCGCGGATCATTCCCAGATAAAGATATATAGACCCATCCAGTTGGCTTGACAAGCTCCACTGCTTTTATCTCCTAAAAACCAAACAAAGCACATAACGTCCTTAGCTCCTAAAATATACTGGTACAACTATTCAGCAGTTAAGACAATTAACCTCAGAGTTCCAATATACCATTACCTTCAAGTTGTGAAATCCATCGCCTGCTCGGATAGAGATCTTACCAGGTGTATAGCTTTCGTCAAGCTTGAAATCAACATACAGGACGACTAACTGAGAATAATTAACAGCAGAAAAAAGAAGAAAAGAAAAAAGTTAAGACCATTCTCAAGTGATTAACGGTGAATTACCAAACCAAACCTTATCGTATAACCATTCTATGGTTAAGTAAAATAAAAATCTAAGAGAAATTCATGCTACAGTAAAACACTTTAAAATCATAGCAAATATTCATGTATAAGAAAAGAAAAATTAAGAAAACAAAGTGAATGTTAAACCATAACTCATATAAGTAATTTCTTTTTAAATGTTTAATTATTTTTTAATGATGATGGTGTATGGGCTAGCTTGCACGCACCTAGATTATAACACTGGCTACCTATTATCTCCCACCAGCACAGTTACCGGATAATTCTACCCACCAAGGCTTATTACATGTTTAATATTGTTCATAAAAATAACACCCTTAAACACTAGGTAAAACATCTTTACTGTTTTAATACTATCGGTGAATGCACTTGCTAAGAGTAAGTTTTTTTAAAACAAGACTTCATAATAGCAAGGATTCGACAGAGTAAGTTTTTTTAAAACAAGACTTCATAATAGCAAGGATTCGACAAAGGAATTGTATATGGGATAGAACCTACTTGAAGCTTAACTTTCTTCTGAAACTGCACATTAACAAGATGAGGCTGTGCGCCATCTGATCTGAATACAGCAAGAAATAAAAAGCCCAAAATCAGCAATTAACTATGAAGATAGTAATATGGTGAAAGTAAGTGTATGTAAACACCACTTAATTTGAATGTCAGAGTTAGGTAATAGAGAATTGTTACTGCCAATAGGTATCAAGGTTGTCATCGCGAAGGGAAAGGACACCATTGCCGGGTTTATAGGAGCTGACACTCCAAGCAGCCTTTTTACCCATTTCCCGGAGGTCATCATCTACAACTAGCTGCTGGCTTCCTCCTGTCAGTTTCCCTTCTTCCTCTCCCTCTGATGAATCCGCCATAGCTGAATTTCACTCACCTTAACTTTTTCTTTGATTTGTATAATACTTTGCTTGGCTGTTCTTAATGCAAGAACTGAAATCCCCAATTTTGATGTAATCCCCAATTCGGAAACCCTAGGTTTTCGAGTTTTTCAATTTTGAAAAAGTGGATTGGGGAAATGCATGGTGTTTCCCAATGTAACGCCATTTTTTAAATTCAAATTCTAATTATTTAATGAGTCAAAGGACGACATTATTACATTTGTGAAACTAACATATGAATTTTAAATCTACTTCTCATATAGCTAACAATATCATATCATACTATATTATAAGTGTGAAGATTTTAGGTAAAGTTATTTTATTAAAATAACCATAAAAATTGAATGACTATTTAACCCCTCATTTTAATACAATTTCTTTATTATTTTTGTACCAAAAACCTACCTTCCAATAAATAATAAATTAAGTTGTAAAACAATGAATTAGGTAAATGAATATAGAAACATGTGGAATAATTTCCTTACAACAACCATTTAGCAGCCTATTCAATGCCTTAGAATTGCTTTTCATCTTCCTATACCAATTCAATGTAACTTCCACAAGTAAATTTTTAGTAACTTACTGTTAGAAGTGGGAATTTGCAGAAGCTAGGAGATGTTTCCATGGTGGAAACTCAGAGAACGAGAGTGAGGAAACTAAAAAATATCTGTTCTCCTTTATTCGAAAATGAATTGTCTAGCCTTTCTAGAATAGTCCATAGTCTTTTTATATTTACATAGAATTTGGCTATAAAAAATAAGTGTAGAAAATGGGCTATCATACTAAGTAGTATACAACTGAAAACTGAAAATAGTGCAACTATTGGGTTGGGCCTGCTGTCAGTTGGGCTGTGTATTTGTGTATGTCAACACCCCCCCCCCCCCTCAAGCGTGGGGATGAGAACACTCCAAGCTTGCCAAGTAAAGAATGATGAAGAGGACCAGGAAGAGCCTTTGTCATAATGTCAGCAAGCTGTGAAGAACTGGGCACAAAATGCAGAGAAATCAACCCAGAATTGAGACTCTCACGTACATAGTGACAATCAATTTTGATATGCTTTGTTCGCTCATGAAAAACCGGATTCTTGGCAATGTGTAAAGCAACAATGTTGTCACAGTATATGGGGATAGGAGCAGAAATGTGGAGACCAAGATCACCCAATATCCGGACTAACCAAGAGACCTCTGCAACCACTTTGCGAAGAGCCCTGTATTCAGCTTCAGCAGATGATAGTGATACTGTTGGTTGCTTTTTGCTTTTCCAAGAAATTGGGGAACCACCAAGTGTAATATAAAATCCAGAAACAGACCTCCTTGACTCAACACAAGCAGCCCAATCAGAGTCTGAGTATGCCTTGATAGAAACATCAGGAGAAGAAGACAAAAGGATCCCTAAATCTGGAGCATTGGGTAGGTACCTCAACACATGAATAGCAGAAAGTATATGAGGAACTTGAGGGGCCTGAAGGAACTGGCTAAGGTGTTGAACACAAAAGGAGATATCAGGTCTAGTATGTTGAAGAAAGTTGAGTTTGCCAATAATTCTCCTATAGGAGCTGGGATCAGTTAAAGGGGCATCCATGTCAACAGACAACTTGACAGAAGCATCAAGAGAAGTCACAACAGGGGAAAAATTCTGACAGTTGAATTCTGCCAGCAATTCATGTGTGAATCTCTGTTGACTGATGATGTATCCTTGAGGACATTTAGTGACCTCCAAACCAAGGAAATAGTGGATGGACCCCAAATCTTTGATCTTGAATTGTTGATCAAGGAAGAGCTTAACACTGTCTATTTCAATGACATCATCCCCAGCCAATAAAATATCATCAACATACACTGCTAGGACTGTGAGAGAGGTAGAAGTAGATTTGGTGAACAAAGAGTAATCATTCATACTAGAAATGTAGCCATATGTAGACAAAGCCTCAGACAATTTTGAAAACCATTGCCTTGAGGCTTGCTTGAGGCCATATAGAGACTTTTTGAGCTTGCAAACCAAGGGGAATGGAGAGGAAGCAGAAGAGGAAACCTGCAGTCCAGGTGGTACCTTCATATAGACCTCCTCATGGAGATCGCCATGGAGGAAGGCATTATTGACATCAAGTTGGTATATAGTCCAGTTTCTTTTAACAGCAAGAGAGAGAAGACATTTAACAGTGGTGAACTTAACAACTGGGGAGAATGTCTCATGATAATCAATTCCCTCCTTTTGAGTGTCACCCCTAATGACTAGCCTTGCCTTGTACCTTTCAATAGAACCATCAGATTTCTGTTTGATTTTATACACCCACTTGCAAGGAATAGCCTTTTTGTTAGGGGGAAGAGGGACAATATCCCAAGTGTTGTTGGCCTCTAATGCTTGAAATTCCTTTAGCATGGCCTCCTGCCAAGCAGGATGAGAAGCAGCCTGTTGAAAATACTGAGGCTCATGCAAGTGCAAATCTGTGGTAGACATTTTGGAAGCAGTAGATACAGGAGCAGAACAGACATAATCTGCTAGGTAAGGAGGAGGATGGGATACTTTAAGAGACTTTCTTAGAGGAGGATGTACAAGTGGAGGAAGAGATGAAGTAGCTGGAGAAGAAGAGGATGGTAAGGTGTGAGGCCCCGTAAAATTTTTGGCTCATAAACCAGAATCTCGTGGTGTCGGCTCCGAACACGTGTTAGGAATGTGTAGAATTCTTCGCTCGCCGCGGTTCGGACCCTTGGTATTGATCTAAGCTTTTAAAAATCAAAAGAATCAATTTTCCAGAAAAATGCCATTATGCGGCCCAGAATGCGGTCGCAGATCCAATATGCGGACCGCATTACCGACCGCATACGAACAGTGTTGGTTAAACTTGAGGTCAGATGCGGTCCAAAATCGCGACCGCNCAAGATGCGGTCCAAAATGCAACCGCATAATCGATATGCGGACCGCATTTCTACCGCAGAGTGGAACAGTAGAGTTGTCAAAATTAATGTTGAAAATGCGGTCTATTATGCGATCGCATAGCAAATATGCGGACCGCATAGTCGTCGCATATTTTGCTTTGAATTTTGTGAATGTCAGTTCTGCGGTGCACTATGCGACCGCAGAACATAAATGCGGACCGCATTCCTGTCGCAGACCCAAACAGAATCCTCAGAGTTTTGGGGGCAATTCTGCGGTCCAATCTGCGGACCGCATTTCAACTCTGCGATCGCAGAATGCGATCGCAGATCTTGCTCGGCTTCTTTTTTTCCTTTTCTTTTTCTTTTCTAAATTTTAACCCCGACACCTTTTTTATAAAAGACCCCAACCCCCTCATTTTTTAACAAGCTTCTGAACAAATAAGAGAGAGGGAGAGAGGGTTCTTGAGAGAGAAAGCCACCTTCTTCAAATTTGATCCTTGAAAACTATCCGGGCGGGAAAATTTCAAAGCAATTATCTTCATCCCCATTCTTGCAGGTAAAAATCCCTAACTATTTTCATTTAAATTCGGGTTTAATCTAAGGGGAGGAAGTCTCATGCATTGGCTCTTGAAAATAGTGGTTAAAAATGTGCATGCACGTCTACAAAAACCTAGAGCCTAGTGGGAGTAATTGGGTGAGAGCAACGACTTGTGCAAAGAAGGGGCTAGTAACCTAGATATGTTCGGGTAGTGGTTGTGAAGCTTGAATTTTAAGTTATGCGTATTAATTTGTGCACTATATGGATGTTGCTAGATTATTTGGTGAATTGGAGGTAGAAATTAAAAAGGGACTCAACCTCAGGTATGTATGGCTAAAATCCCTTCTTTTTTTATTTTGAAATTGAGCTCCGTTGTCATTTATGAAAGCATGGTAAGAGTTGAATTGGTTAGCATATTGCTTGTTATTACGCAATAATTGATATGCAATTATCTGTACATATTCGTGAAGGATGTGCCCCAACGTGAATAATGTGCATATCTTGATAATTTGATAATGACGGAAAGTACAGTTATATGTGGAAATACTTGGGCTATAAGCCAACATTGGAACAAAGAATTATTCATGCTAGATATGTGCTTATTTACCCGTGATTGCAATTTGAAGTATCCTCAATATATGTGTATATGTTCACAACTTGTAAAATGAATATCAAAAAAAAAAGGGAAACGATGTGATGATGGTGGCCATGAGTGCCCCAGAAATTGTTATGTTATGTGTGGAATAAAGACTTGAAGTGTTGGCTAATGAGAATGGAGAAATGCCTCAAACGAGGTGACCTAGCCGATCGGGTCGTGATCGGACACCATGCCGCACACATGGTGGTAATGTGCTGATATTGGATTCCGAATAAAGGAAATAAAATATTGATTGAGAGTAATGCCTCCAATGAGGTGACCTAGCCGGTCGGGTCGTGATCAGACTCCGCTTGGGATAGCGGTGGTAATGAGAATGTCACACCTCCTTTTTCCTGCACCCCCAGCCGAGGATATAATAAAGGGAGTTATTTCCAACTTGAAGTGACAATCGAAACGGGATTTATTATTAAGATTCAGAGTCGCCACTTGAGAGATTAATGGTGTCCCAAGTCACCGGTTGAATCCCGAACCGAGGAAATTATGACTCTGTTAACAGTCCGCGAACCAGAAATCCGAGTAAGGAATTCTGTTAACCCGGGAGAAGGTGTTAGGCATTCCCGGATTCCGTGGTTTTAGCACGGTCGCTCAACTGTTGTATTTGCTTTTATCTGATTTTAAAACATGTTCTAACCTATGTGCCCTTTTATTAATAAACCGCTTTTATTTTATTTATATTTTTTTTCATTTTTAAAGAATTGCAACGTCGTGAAAATGCGTCTCGAACCACGTCGCACCAGTGCACCCGTGATTGTTAACTCATATCGACTCCGTTGAGATTTGGATTTGGTTCACATAAATGTGCACCCGTAATTACGAAGGTAATATTATTAAAACGCGCCTAAAGTGACTAACGAGTCATTATCTTTGAGGAAAACCGTGAAATTCGCTAAACGGTTCACCCGAGTTATAAGTATTTTTTGTATAGCATTTATTGAGGGCCCCGCCATTTGTATTTGGCTTGACGAGGCTCGTCTCATTTTTATTATTAAAAGCCAATCCTAAAGCAAACTAGAATTTTCTATTTATTTGTCTCTAAAGGCCAATTAATTCACAAATATAAATTCGGGTCTCGAATTCAAGTCCGAATTCAAGCAAAAG